ACTTGTGCGAAGGTCGCAAAAAAGGAGATCATGTGACCTCTGGACACTGAATTGTCGTAACTATGAGTCAGTGGACAAGCATCTGAATTTTGATCACGTGACCAGGGAGAGGCTGCAAGGGTCATCAGTGTGCAAAACAGTCCTAAGTCATTTTTTTTTTTCTTCAGTGCCGTTGCAATTTCTAATGGTCACTAAACGAACAGTTGTAAGTAGAGCAGCTCATGCAAGCACACATGCTACTGCTAGGGATTATGGTGGCTTGCAGCCTAGCAACCCCCTTGAAAAAATGTGAGGCTCCTTTATCGACCTTCCATTCTCCATTCTGAAGCTTCTTTTTCTGTTCAGGCCTCAATCTTCATCTTTAGTTTTAAAATATCTCCGTCCCTTTTCCCCTGCTCCCTGCTATCTTCGGACGCTGGTATTGGAGACCAGCAGATTTGAGGCGAATTCGTTGCAAATTCTATGCCAAAAGTTTATTTATTTTTTTCCTCCCTCCTCCTTCCCTGGTTCTTTCGTTATTGTTTCCTCCCTGCTATCAACCTGTTGCGCTCTCGATTTCCTACAAAGGGTTAGACGGCAAGTCAGGCCTCTTTCCAAACTCAATAATCCTGCACGGGCTTTGTGGTGGTTCTTTTAACTGACTGCCCTCTGATAAGGGAAGTGGTGAGCTGAGATCACAGCTGGAATGTTTCCTGCCGAAGTGGCCTTGAGCTGCGGAACATGCGCCTGTGAGTGCTAGCATGTTTCGAAGTCCCCGTAAAACCAATTCTACTAATAACGCACCCTTTCGCTTACACCATTGTCTTGGCCTTGATGTTCTTTGGCGGTTCCTCGTTTACGGTTCCGTCGGTTTTCTTCCTATCTGGGAATAATTCCTCCCTTTTGTGGTAACAGAACGTTGCAAATTAATCCATGCCAGCGCCTGAAATAACAGAGATAAGGGTCTTGTGTGAAGCGGGAGAGACTCTTTGGAATGCTGTTTCTGTCCCTTAACAGTTGCCCTCCTTCAACAGCATACAGCAAGGGTCTCCCAACTTGACATGTTTAAGACTTTTGGACTTCAACTCCCAGAATTCCTGAGCTAACATGACTGGAGGAGGAGGAATTCTGGGAGTTGAAGTCCACAAGTCTTAAAGCGGTCAAGTGTGAAGACCTCTGGTATACAGATTAGATGCTTTTGTGCTTTATTTTAAGAGGTTCTGCGCTCCTATACTTTGCTGGCTGTGGACATGTCGGATTGCTTCCTAATTGCAGCTGGATTGTAGTATCTGTGGCACAAATGTGAGGTTGTGTAATTCTTCTGCAGCTCACCAGAACAAGCTAGAAGAGATGATTAATGAATTAGCAGTGGCCATGACAGCTGTCAAGCACGAACAGGAATACATGGAAGTTCGCGAAAGAGTACATCGAGCAAGTGAGTAGCCTTCATTTGGCTTGCGGTTCTGTTTTTCTAGTGGAGTGGGTTTTTTTTCCCCCTTATCTATTTTTGTATTCGACAATTGGTCTGTTAGCCTTGGCAACAACAGCTTTGCAGGCAGGTGAGCAAGCAGGCTGGCAGAAGAGGAAGAGAAGAAACTTGATCGTGCAACGGCTAGCAAAAGGGAAGTAGTGTTCTGAGAGGAGGAGGAGGAGGAGAGTGGGTAATTGCAGTGAATGGGAGTGTTCAGTGTGGGTTTTGATTAACCACAACAACAGAAAGACTTAAGGTACTCGAGACAGTTTAATGCAGAGGTCTCCAAACTTGGCAACGTTAAAGATTTGTGGACTTCAACTCCCCAGAATTCTCCAGCCAGTTTAATGTAATGCTTAAAGTGCTAGAAACCAGGAGATGGTGAGTCCCAGTCCTGCCTTACGCCTGAAAATTGACGGGGTGACTTTGGGCCAATCACTAGGAGACGGAGAGTTGTAGTCCCGTGTTAGCCATGAAAGCCAGATAGTAATAGCAAATAGCATTTAGACTTACCGCTTTACAGTACTTTACAGGCCTCTTAAGCAGTGTATAGAGTCAGCTCTCAACAGTTTGGCTCCTCGTTTTACCTTCCATTGGAAGGATGGAATTCTGAGTCAACCTTGAGCCTGGTGAGATTCGAACTGCCAAATGGATGGTTTGGGTCCGGTCACTTTTTCTCATCCAAGCCCATCTCACAGGATTGTTGTCATTTGGGAGAGGAGGAAGTATTAGATCTCTTTGCCGCCTTGAATTATTTATAAAGTCATAAAAGTGGAATAAAAATCTAAAAAAGTACTTCAGATCTTCAATGGTAGCAGAAACTTGCTAGGTGTTCCAATCCTTAATGGGCTTGGTTTGCAAGCTTTGTAGAAATACCTGTATGGCTGGTTCTCCCGTTCTTCCCTCCCCCAGAAGATTCTGAGACATGGAGTAGAGACTCCATCGATGAGCTAAGTACGCGAGGCTTAGATAGGAGGCGTTCCTGAAGTTACGTAGTTCTGTAGTTTTCATGTGTTAATTTTGTGTTTTCTTCTTGGTTTCTTCTCCAGTTAATGACAACACAAATAGCAGAGTGGTCCTCTGGTCGTTCTTCGAAGCCCTTGTACTAGTTGCCATGACACTGGGACAGATCTACTACCTGAAGAGGTTTTTTGAAGTCCGGAGAGTGGTTTAATCAAACTTGGCTCCCAGCCCCTATTCTGGTGATCCCAGACTCTGTTCACTCTTTTACCAAACAACTTTATTGCAAAAATCACGTAGTTTCCTTTATCCCCGCATCCTGAACTATAAAACTTTTTAAGTTTAATGTTTTCTTAGCTTAATTCTGGGTTTCTTTGGGTTTTGGTGGTAGTTGTTTGTTTTCTTTTTGTTTTGATATGAGGCGATAACCTGCCGTGAGTTATTTTTTCTGAAATTGGACGATTTTGTTTCTCACAAGCCAAAAGGAGTCGAACCAAAATTGACAGATGTTAGTTGGAAAACAGTAGCCTTGCTCTTCTTAATTCTTGGGGTTTTTTTTCCCCTTTCTCTCTTTCTTTTGGCTTCTCGGGGGTTGTTTTGTAGCAAACTGCTGACATTTTGTCTAGGAGAAATGGTACAGGGCTTTTTCACAATAACGTACAGACCTATGGGAAGATTCTCTAACTAAATCAATGGGTTTCACCTCTACTTTCACTAGAGAACAGTTAAGGTGTACTCCCTTCCTAGCAGTGCTTCCCCCCAAAAGGCACTATGCCGAGGAAGAAATGAAGACGGTACTATTCAGACATACACAAACTAGGAATAGGTGCTGTTAAGCCACGGCTTAAGGGACGTCTTGTAAACCCCCCAATATCTTTATGGTGGTTCCACCGATTTGTTCCTTGAGATTTAAGTTAGAGAAGTAAGGATAGCGCTGTTCCCTATGGCCTTTGTTTTCAAACCTTGGAGCTGGCAATTGTTGTTGTGGGATTTGGGTAAGCCTAGCACCTTCCTCTCTCTCTCTGCTGATCCTTCCAAAGCTACTCCTTTCTGTAGCGCTAGGGCAGGAACACGTCCCTGCTTTCTGATCTCACAACTTTTGAGAGGAGTGAGGGAGAAGATTTCTACAGTACTCCGCAGCCTGGGCTACTTGGTCCTGGCAGCCTCGGATGGGGAATGATTTTTTTTTCCCTTCACCAAGAGAAATGAAACGGAAAAACCATCACTTTTCTTTGTTGCTGAATCTTCCCCAGAGGCTATTTGCATACGGAACCGGTGCACGTTTTTTAAGCTCATGTTATGACTGCAATTCCATCAGTTTTCTCTCCAACTTTTCCACTCTGCCCTACTCTTCAAGGCACAGAAACCTCTCTCAAGAAAGGCGTCGTTGCTCCGAATTTGGCTGTCCTCTTTTATTTTCTGCTTGTTCTCTTTTCACGCATCGACATAAGTTTTTTTTTTTAATAGAATTGAGGTGGTTTTTTTTTTTTTTTTCCTTTCTTTCATTCTTCTTACTTATCCGGATGATGGAATTAACAATCACCACGTCTATCTATTGGGGTGGGCCTGGTTTTGGATTATGTGGTGGCTGATGTATATTGGACTGATGTATATTGGTTATAATTTGGGGGAGTGGGGCGGGAGTGGGTTCTTTTCAAAGGGCGGGGGTTGGGGAGAATTCTGTCAGTACCGCAGAAAAGAGTTTTGTACCAAATTTAATTTAATTAAAATTCGTTACAAGTTTTCCTGGTTCCAGTAATCTTTTCAGCCAGAGGCGGAGACGTAAGGAACACTTCTTCGCCAAGTCATCGTATGCCAATCCTAATATAAGATCAGTGGAGTTCAGCGTAGAAAATGTACATTTCAAAATGTTTGAAATTTGCCCAGATTCAATTAAATAAATACCTTCTTTAAAAAAAAAAGTGGGTTAGCCTGATGCTTATCTTACATTTTCGACAATCAGTATTATTATTTTTGGGGGGTATGTTTTTATTTTTACCTTAAAGGGGCAAGTTATTTCAAATAGGCGTGTAATGGGTTGGGGAGACAAGAATCTGGAGGATTATATGATGGTTATAAGTCAATGGGACCTATTAAGTTGGTATTTAAACCAACCGAAACCAAACCAGCATAATTTTAGGGAAATACACACAATACAGAAAGTATTGGGGACATGTTCCAAAGGTTGTCCTTAGAATATGATATCCTTTTGCGAGAAATCGTGCCTTTTGTCTTTTTCCATCATAAAGGAAGCCCCGCCGTTGCATTCCTTGGAAGTTTTGAGGGTGCAAATATTGGGCATTTCTTAGAGGGGGTGAGAAGTCTTCCCTGCACCCCGAGACTAGGCAGCTGCTCCCAAGGGCCCTAGTTTCCTCACTACGACTATTAAAAGTAGCAACTCCGCCATGAAACATGAGAAGGCTGGTCCTCCAAGAGTTGTGGGTGCTCCAACGAGTCCCAAAAGTGGCTTTTCATCTCTGGAGGTTTTTCAAGAAGAGACTTGGACGGTGGTCTCCTGTTTCACCAGAGGGGGGGGGGGGTCGAAGTAGAAATTCTTCATTTTGATCCGATTCCACATGGGGTCGGAACCTTCCGCGCGGGATTGGTTTCCCGGTCGGAGACCGGAAGTGAAGGACGTTCGCCGCGCGGGGGGACCTCTTAAAAGGTCGGGATTTCCGGCCCAACAATCAAGAGGCGGGCGGGCGCACCATGGAGCAGGTGACGGAGGGGACGTGGGAATCGCTGCCCGTGGAGCTCAGCCCGGGGGTCCTGCAGGCTTTGCGGGAGCTGCGCTTCTCTCACATGACGCCCGTGCAGGTAGGGAGCGGGAGGGCCTCCCTTTGCGCTTCCCGGCAGGCTGGACTCCAAGTCCCATCGTTCCCAGCCCCCCGCCCCCGTGCTGATGGGATTGGATGCCAGCCCGCCTGGAGGAGGAGGAGGAGGAGGAAGACAACCCTACAAAAGGGGTTTTCTGCCTATTTGGATTAAGGGAAAGCCACCCAAGCTCTTCCATTCTTCCTTTTCCTCCTCTTCTTCCTCCTCCTCTCCCTGTTCTTCTTCCTCCTCCTCCTCCTCCTCTTCTTTCTTCTCCTCCTCCTCCCAAACATCTGGCTGATGGTGCAATGAACCACAATAATACAGTATATGAAGTGTGTGTGTTAACTGACTTTCACTGCCTTTGGGGACCTCACAACCCCCCCCAAAATGCAGCCAGTAAAACAATAAAACCAATAAAGCATAAATGCTAAAATATTATGCATGAATAAGCATCTTTTTGGAAGGCTTTGGGCATCCAGCGTAATATTCTAAATATCATTTGGTGGATGCTTGTATTGTTTGAACGTCTTTCAAAATGTTTTAATTGGTTTAAAAGTTTAGACTTGGTAAGCTGGCCTGAATCCCTTGTTGAGTTCAGCAGCCATGGAAAAGTGATTGATAGAATGGATGAATTAATTAATAAATAGAATCTTGATGTTTGAATCAACTGCCAAACTAGAAATCTTCCCTTTCCGTATAGTTCGTCTGATGCGTTTCTTTGAAAGCATTCGTGGTCCCTCATAATCTCTCCTCTCGCTTCTTCAACAGAGTGCAACGATCCCTTTATTTATGACAAATAAGGATGTGGCAGCTGAAGCAGTGAGTGATCAAAAAATATATATTTTAGCCATTATTTTTCTTCTTTGAGTCATTTAGGAACTTTTTAGATTTCTCTATTTTTCATCCCCTCAGGTAACTGGCAGTGGAAAAACACTAGCATTTGTCATTCCCCTCATAGAAATACTTCTCCGGCGTGAAGAAAAGCTTAAAAAAATGCAGGTAATATGTGGATTCATTTCTTTTTTTTTTTTTAAGACCTAGCGGGGTAATCTGGAAATCCAACTTTCTAACTGCCATCCAGCACTGAAATTATTGTTGCCACATAAGAAATATGGAGTATTATTATTTTAAGGTCTGCAGTTTGTGGAAAAGAAAGAGAAATGTCTTACTAATATAACCTAGGTACAGCTGAAGCTATATTGATACTAATTCTGTTTTTGGTACTTTACCATTGTAGATTGGTGCTCTTATCATCACTCCCACAAGAGAGCTTGCTATCCAAATAGATGAGGTGATCTCCCATTTCATTAAATATTACCCACAGTTCAGGTAAGTCCCATCTGGTGGTTCGGTAAAGCTGGATGACTTTGTTTGTTTTTTAACTTAAGATGTTGCTTCACCTTTTGTTTTCCAGTCAGTGCCTTTTGATTGGTGGGAAAAATCCGATGGAAGATGTCGAAAGATTCAAAGAACAAGGGTGAGTTAAATGGTGAGGTCATGACTGTAAAACTATCGCTACTCAGACTCAGACAGTACTTGAATTTAATTTATTATTGGTCACACAGTCAGCCAGGTGTTTAGAGTAGATTTGGCACTTTTATCCACCTAGGGAGTCCTTCCCAAGTATAGGTAGACATTGTTCCATGAAATTGTTAAAGGTATCATTGCAAGATCTAAGCGGTTCCAAGTACCCATCTCAGAACCAACCTACAAATCATATTTTTTTTCTGTCTTGATCAGTGGAAACATCCTCGTGGCCACCCCGGGTCGTTTGGAGGACATGTTCAGGAGGAAATCAGAGGGCCTGGATTTGGCCAAGGCTGTAAAATCTCTGGATATTTTGGTCTTGGATGAAGCAGATCGGCTACTGGACATGGGGTTCGAAGCAAGGTAAACTCTTGTATTTGTTGACATTCATTAGTATAAACTAGATTGATCAATTTAATTTTCCTTTCTCATAATTGGTTGCTCCAGTTTCCATGAATTATACTTTTTGATTGTTGCTGAATTGTCTAGGGCTTGATTTTTTGGACTGCATTACAAAGGAGAATAGAATAAGAATTAGATTAGAATTGAATGGAATGGAATGGAATGGAATGGAATGGAATTTTTTATTGGCCAAGTGTGATTGGACACACAAGGAATTTGTCTTGGTGCAAATGCTCTCAGTGTACATAAAAGAAAAAATACATTCATCAAGAATCATCAGGTACAACACTTAATGATAGTCATAGGGTACAATAAGCAATCAAATCATAGTAGGAAACAGTCCATATAAATCGTTAGGATACAAGCGACGAAGTAACAGTCATACAGTCTACAAGTGGGAGGGGATGGGTGATAAGGAGTGATGAGAAGATTAATAGTAATAGTAGTGCAGACTTAGTAAATAATTGGACAGTGTTGAGGGAATTATTCGTGTAGCAGAGTGATGGCGTTTGGGAAAAAACTCCCCTTGTGTCTAGTTGTTCTGGTGTGCAGGGCTCTATAGTGTCGTTTTGAGGGAAGGAGTTGAAGCAATTTATGTCCAGGATGTGAGGGGTCTGTAAATATTTTCACAGCCCTCTTTTTGACCCGTGCAGTATACAGGTCTTCAATTGAAGGCAGATTGGTAGCCATTGTTTTTTCTGCAGTCCTAATTACTCTCTGGAGTCTCTTGTCTGTCCTGTTGGGTTGCAGAGCCAAACCAGGCAGTTATAGAGCTGCAGATGACAGACTCAATAATTCCTCTGTAGAACTGCATCAAGAGAAAGGTTATATATCGCTGGAGCTTTATGTCTCAATAGTGGGTTCAGGGGTATTTTTATTTTGTTTTAACTAGCAGCTTCTGCAAGCTTGAGAAAAATGCGAAAACCTTTGGCCTAGGGATTGGGTTTAGCCTTTTGTTAGCCGAATGCTTCTGACACCGTTCCTTGTATTTGCCCGCAGTTTGAATACTATCCTGGATTTTCTGCCCAAGCAGAGACGGACAGGGCTCTTCTCTGCAACTCAGACCCAAGAGGTGGAAAACTTGGTGAGAGCAGGACTCCGAAACCCCGTCCGGATCTCGGTGAAGGAGAAAGGAATGGCAGCGACCAACACCCAGAAGACTCCCACTCGGCTCCAAAACTATTACATGGTGAGCTCAGTTCTGTTTTCCGGAGGGGCTTTTGAGAGGGGAAATAGCTCCAGATTGCTTTGATCCTGGTGTCCAGGCGAGATGCTTTTCACCGATCGTATTGCTGTATATGTAGCCCTTGGCTTACGACCACAAATTGAGCCCAACGTTTCTGTCGCTAAGCGAGAGGATTGTGAATTGAGTTTTGTCCCATTTTATGACCTTTTCTGCCACTGTGGTTTGGTCAGTCATTGTTGCTGTTACGTTAATAACACGGTTCTTAAATAAATCTGGCTTCTTCCCCCTTCTTAGCTCTGAAACTTGTGTCATTTATTGGGAGAAGTGGAGAAGAATTAAATGCCTTTTTGTTTGTGTTGAGAGCCGAAGGGGGAAAAAAAAGACTTATCTTTAAAGGAGATAATTCCACAAAGGGTTGTGTTTGTGCCTCTTATTCTCTGAATATCATTTGCTGTCTTGATATTTTTAGATCTGCAAGGCCGACGAGAAATTTAACCAGCTGGTTCACTTCCTTCGTCAACACAAACCAGAAAAGCATCTTGTCTTTTTCAGGTAGGACAAAATGGATATGAGGATAGAGGCTTAACACGAATAATTTTCACTGTTCCCAAGATCGTGGCTTATAGGCTACATAGAATTGTTTCTTAAATTGTTTTTTAAACCTTTGTTTCCAATTTCAGTACCTGTGCTTGCGTGGAATATTATGGGAAGGCTTTGGAGTCTTTGATTAAGAATGTGAAAATCATGTGCATCCACGGGAAGATGAAACACAAGAGGAACAGGATCTTTACAGAGTTCCGGAAACTTCCAAGGTAGAGAAATATTTTTGCAAGGGCTAAAATCGACCAATTGTAAGAAGAGATAGAATGTACAGCTGTGCATTGGGAGGGATATGTCTGTGCATGTGTACATGCTCAGAAACACCATCTTAATTGAGGTGAAAAGTAACTGTGAGGTCCAAAGAATTCAAAATGTCCTCACTTTGGAAATGTATTGCACGCTGGGTGAATTCACACTTCCCTATGTTGAGATTTCTCTTAACTGTGGCTTGTTGAACAACTCACAATTGGCCACAATCCATGGTATGCAAATCCCAGGAACTAGCTTTGTAGATTCTATTTTGTTTACCCCAGCAAACCACGTTGTTTTATATTAAAGCCAGTTGGGTATAGTGGTTTCAGTGCTGGCATAGAAACCAGGAGACAGTGAGTTCTAGTGCTGCCTTAGGCATGAAAGCTGGCTGGCTGACTTTGGGCCAATCACCAGGAGATAATGAGTTCTAGTTCTATCTTAGGCAGGAAAGCCAACTAGGTGACTTTGGGCCAATCACCAGGAGATGGTGACTTCTAATTCCATCTTAGACACGAAATCCAGCTGGCTGACTTTGAGCCAATCACCAGGAGATGGTTAATTCTGGTCTTGCCTTAGGCATGAAAGCTGGCTTGTGGGCCAATTACCAGGAGACGGTGAGTTCTAGTTCCATCTTAGGCAGGAAAGCTGCCTGGCGACTTTGAGCCAGTTCCTCTCACTCAGCCCAACCTACCTGGTGGTGGTGGAAAGGATGAGGAAGGTGCATTTGATATGTTCACTGCCTTGGGTGAGTTATAATGTAATAAAGATGGGATAAATAAAATCTAATGATAATTACTAAGGCCAGTTTAATGTCAGATCCTGCTATGCTTCAAATATTAAGCGACGTTCCTGCTGTAGCTCTGCTCTCCTTCCCCTTTTCAACATTTTGTCGTCCTTCTCAATTTCTCAGCGGCATCCTGGTGTGTACCGACGTGATGGCCCGTGGCATAGACATCCCAGAGGTGAACTGGGTTTTGCAGTACGACCCACCAAGCAGCGCAAGGTAGCCCCTTTGCCTCCCCCCCACCCCTCTTTAAAAGCAGCCTGGAGCAAATTCTTCCCCAAAAGAATTTTAGGACTCTCTTACTGCTCAGCGCAGGGGTCTCTCACCTTGGCCACTTTTAAGACTTGTGGACTTCCAACTCGCAGAATTCAAAGCTCAGCTGGCTAGGGAATTCTGGGAGTTTGAGTCTAGAAGTCTTAAAAGTGGCCATGGTTGGGCAGCCCTGGCCTAGTGTTAAGCCATTTCAATGAGTTGGATTCCCTGCTAGTTTAAACAGAATGTGAACTGTTTTGCTGCGTTTTCTCCCGTTTTTTCGCTACAGTGCTTTCGTGCATCGCTGCGGCCGCACGGCCCGTATCGGCCACCTGGGCAGCGCCCTCGTTTTCTTACTTCCTATGGAAGAAGCTTACATCAGTTTCCTGGCCATTAACCAAAAGGTGAGAGGGTCTCCCTGTTGCATTTTGATCCAAAACTAATAAAGAGAGAATCGGTCTGGGGATAGGAAAAATAGAATATTGGAAATTAAGGAACGGGTTATCTATTGTCATTTAGTATTATTTTATGTCGAATTGAAATTGCTTTTTTTTCTAAAGAGGTAAGATTGGTCCTGTTCATAGTCTCATAGAAATAATAACAGAAGAGGAATTTATTTGATTTTGTTGCTTTATAAATAACATAACAAACAAACATAGTATTTCCTCTTTTTCCTCCCAACAACTTGGCGATTGAGCCAAAGTCACCCAGTTGGCTTTCATGCAAAATGAAACTGAATGAATCAGGGTGAGATTCTATCTGGTCAGACTGGTTCTATAGAACCAGTTGTTACGATTCTGTGTGGTTTGGAGAACCGGCAAATTGCGCCACTGGCTGGCCCCACTCCTCCCCGCCCACTCACTCCTTACTTGGCATGCGCGCCATCAAACTTGCCTGTGTTTGGTAAGTTGCTATTTTTCCTTTCCCCGCCATCCCAAGCCATCAGCTGTTCTGTTGTGCCAGGAGATTTAGATTAGCTAGAAGGCAGGAAATTGTTGGATTTCTTGCTTTCTAGCTAATCTAAAAGCAGAGCCGAACCTTCCTCAGGACTGAAGCTTCTATTTTTCAGTGCAGACTCAGGTAGCCGATTGCAGAAAGATGGATCTCTGAGTGAATCTGTGATTCTGTAAGCAACTCTATCTGCCTGCTTACTTTGCCTGATTTTGGGCAAAAATTGCTCTTTTTTTATAAAAAATTCAGTATTTACATACATGGTGTGTTGTGAGTTAATTTTGTGAGTTTGCTTGCAAGCAAGTTTTATGTGACAGACTCAGGTAGCCAATTGCAGAAAGGTAGATCTCTGAGTGAATCTGTGCTTCTGTGAGCAACTCAATTTGCCTGCCTGCTTTGCCTGATTTTGGGCAAAAGTTGCTCTTTTTAAAAAAATAAAAAATTCAATATTTACATATTTACAATATTTGCATACAAGCCACGCCCAGACAGTCACATGAACACCAGGCCACACCCACAAATTAGGCCATGCCCACAGAACCGGTTGTTAAGAAATTTGAACCCCACCCCTGGAATGAATGCCGAAAGGGAAAGAATCTTAAAAACGTGTCATTTTGAGAGTTTGAATGAGATAAAAACGCGATCTTCACAATTAGTGCCCCATGGAGGAACTGAGACCGCAGAGGAACGTCACGGATGTCCTCCCTAAGCTGAAGTCGCTGAGTCTGGCTGACCGAGCCATGTATGAAAAAGGGATGAAGGCTTTCGTCTCTTGCGTCCAAGCCTACGCCAAGCACGAGTGCAACCTCATCTTCCGAATAAAAGGTGAGTTGGTCTGTTTAAAACACTGACCGTTTCTTTCTATTGTTTTTGAGGGCGGTTTTTTTTTTTTTTTGTTTAACATGGCCACCATATAGGATAATCTGCCTATTAGCATTTCCAACGTTTATTTCTTTCCAGTTCTTAAATTAACTTTGCAATCTCTGGAACTTTCTGTTCGTTTTGACCACTCCTGTTTTGTTATGCTGATGTCTTGATTATTCAAAAAAAAAAAACAAACACCCATATCTTGCTATTTGTCCTTTTCAATGTCTGACAGAAATAGCACTTATATACCACTTCCCAGTGCTTTTACAACCCTCTCTAAGAGGTTTACAGAGTCAGCCTCTCCCCCCAAACAATCTGGGTCCTCATTTTACCCACCTTGGAAGGATGGAAGGTTGAGTCGACCTTGAGCCGGTCAGGATCGAACTGCCAAATTGTAGTCAGTCAGCAGAAATAGCCTGCAGGACTGCACTCTCACCACTGCACCACCGATCTCTAAATAAGCAATCTCTCTCATTCCTTCTCTCCCTCTTTTCCTCCCTCCCTCCCTTCCTTCCTCCCTGTGTGTGTGTGTGTGTGTTGAAAGAGAGAGATTCCATGCCCAATACTAGGTAAGATACCTAAACATTTTGTTGGACTTCTAGCCAAGAATTCTCTCCTGTTCTCCTATCACATTTCAACCACCTGGTGTGCTACCAGGTCAAAGTGAGACACACGCACACACAAACCAAAACAGTTAGAAACCAAAAAACACCCACCTCCTTCCAATTGCTCCTCTCCAATGACTGGGAGAAGCCCACTTAGCCTGGCCACCCACCCAGTTTGGTCTCTTCTCTGCTGCCCCTCCAATTGTTTGCAGCTTTCCACCACCACAAGCATAGGTATATTACTGCATCTGAAGTGCCTCCCCCCGAGTCTCCGTTTTGAGTTCCACGCCTGCCGAGTCCCACTGGTCTGTACCCCCTTTTTAACAGATCTGGACTTTGCCAGCCTCGCCCGAGGTTTTGCCCTCTTGAAGATGCCAAAGATGCCGGAGCTGAAATGGAAAGACCTCTCGGGCTTCACCCCCGTTGATATCGACACGGATTCAATCGCGTTCAAAGACAAGAACAGGGAAAGGCAGAGGCAGAAGCTGTTGGAGCAACGGAAGGCAGACGGCCCCGTCCGCAGGATGGGGAGGAAGACGCCCCGAAATCAACCTTGGTCCAAGCAGAAAGCCAAGAAGGAGAAGAAAAGGAAATTGGTAGCGAAACGGAAAAGGGAGGAGGTGAGTTTGGGCAGGAAATGGTCTTTTTAATAACTCTTGCGGTGGGACGACTGGGACATCCCATTAAGCCCAAATGGGATTCATTTAGTTTTGCCTAAGGAATATCATTAATTAACTATCAACTCAACACAGCCTAATCAAAGAACTATCAGGAATATTCTTACATCATTGACCGGGCAAGTCACTGTATATAAACAGAATTGCAGACTTCAAAAGATAACGAAACCCACACAGTTGGGAGGACGCCAGAACCCAGATAAGACTTGACAAAGATAATGCATGCTTTGCTTCCAGCAAGGTTCTCTGTGCAAACACCCTCTTTATCCTGTTTTCCCAGCTTGCAGCTAATCAGGGCCCCTTTCTCCCCCGTAACCATGTTGCTCCCTTATCCGTCCCTCCCTGCGTGCCTTAGGATGAAGAGGGGGTGGCCCTGGGTCTTCCTCTGAATGCCCAGCCGGACTGGGCCCTTCCCCAGTTTCCTCCACAGCCACTGGAGCCACACTCCCTCTAGGAATCAGATTCCAACAGCGGGCATGACAAAAAGCCTTGCTGATTTTGAGTTTTGTTTCCTGTTTTTAAAATCTCTCTCTCTCTCTCTAGGGTTCTGACCTTGACAACGAGGATATGGAGGAGCTTCTGAACGATACACGGCTTTTGAAAAAACTCAAAAGGGGTAAAATCAGCGAGAAGGAGTTTGAGAAGACGCTGCTGGGCAGTAGGAAAGGAGGAAGCGGCTCGGAGTCAGAAGGATAAAAAAAAAACGAAGTGAAAACATCAGTGTTTCTGGCCTCAATACAGACTCTTTGGCTGGGGTGCTGAAATTCCTTAAACCTCGACTGGATTTCTTCGTGCAAAATTGGGACGATCCAAGCTGTTTTCCTCTTATTCCCACTGGAGGCACTGCAAGCCAATTCTGTAAGAAGAATCAGTCTGTCTAATTTAGTACTGTCTGCTTGCAGTGGAAGTAAAAGGATTTGGAGACATCATTTAGCCCCCGCTGTTTAAAAACTGCAGGTTTAAAAAGCCATGAAATCCAAGCAAAAATGTTACCCAAATACAGCCCGGCGACATATTTTTTTACCTGCATGTAAATTAGTTCCATGTAAATGTGGTGCAGTGGTGAGAGTGCAGTACTGCAGGCTACTTCTGCTGACTGCCTGCAATTTGGTAGTTCAAATCCCACCAGGCTAAAGGTTGACTTGGCCTTCCGTCCTTCCGAGGTCAGTAAAATGAGGACCCAGATTTTTTTGGGGGGGGGGGGTGCAAGAGGCTGACACTGTAAACCGCTTAGAGAGGGCTGGGAAGCACTGGGAAGCGGTATATAAGTCTAAGTTACAGTAACACCATGCTGGTCATTGCATTATCATGCAATGCTATGAAATGGATCCAACAGAGTTTTGACTTTGCCACCCTCTTGCTTTTTTTAAGAGAATACATTTTAAACTTCATTCTACCACAGCCTAACTCAGGCCAGCAGGTGGACTGGAAAATACATGACGAAACCTTGGTTTTTCTTCTGAGTGGATTTATTCCAATAATTTAATTTTCGGACGGTGAGCTTTTTTTTTTTTTTTTGTACAAATGAATCTTTTCTTAAAAAAAAAAAAGAAAAAGAAAATCTGTAAAATAAACTGGCAAACGATCGGGAAGTTCCCTGCTCATTTTACATTTACTGCTTGCAATCCACCCATTCCGGGAGGCCCTTTACAAATAGAGTTTAATCAGTTCATCACTCACAGCTGAAGGGGTCAAGACCCCGAGATCCGTAAAGAGCAGCGTGATAAGAGACGGGGACGTATAATCGATCCAAGGATGCTCGACCGTGAGAGCCTTTTGAGTCTTCAGTGTATCTGCTTTGTACTGAGAATAACGAAACAAAAGATCTGGGTTGTTATTATTGGAGGATGCCGGCGCTGCCTAGGTGCAGCCAACTCTGAGACACATAATTCCTTGTCATCCTTGATCCTGGTTTTCTCCCACCCCCTGGGTGTATCCTAATTCATATTCTCCAATGGGACACCTCCATAGCCCAGAGTCATCAATCATCAAAAATTCCAGTTAGAATTTTGCACGGCAGAAACTTCAGTCACCTAGTTACTCTCTTTGAAAACACAGAATGCAAACTGTCCACTGCTCTCTCTTCCCTTTCTGTTGGAAACTCTAAAAAGACCATAGAAATATTTTATGAGTTGACAAGAGGCAGCTTTGGTTAGTTTCTTAAGCTGACCCACCCCCGCCTTCTGTCCCTGCCCTACAGATAGTCCTCATCTTACAACAGTTCCTTCAGTGACCATTCAAAGTTACAATGGCACTGAGATAAGGAAGGCCAACCTTTCCAGCCAGCTACAGGTTCCGTTTTGCCCAGAAAGTAGCCTTCTCTCTTACCTTAAATTTATCCGGGACATCCTGCTGGTTCAGAGGGAAGAGCCGTACAAACTTAAAACTCTCCGCAACCACGTAAAAGGGTTTGTTTTGCGCTTTGGCGCAGACAGCCATTTGGTTGGTCCCAATCTGAAGAAGACATTAGGCAGGGGGAGAAGACGTACAGTGGTTAGGACATGTCCGAAGCAGCAATTTGATTCACTGGAATTTTCTGAACAGAAGTGGAAGATGGGAGTTCTAGTCCCGCCTTAGGCATGAAAGCTGGCTGGGTGACTTTGGGCCAATCACCAGGAGACGGTGAATTCTAGTTCTGCCTTAACCATGAAAGCCAGGTGAGTGCTGTTGGGCCAAGGAGCAGGAGATGGTGAATTCTAGTCCTGCTTTAGGCATGAAAACTGGCTGGGTGATTGTGGGCCAATCACCAGGAGGAGGTGAGTTCTAGTCTTGCCTCAGGCATGAAAACCAGCTCCCTCTCTCAGCCCAACCCACTTCACAGGGTTGTTGTGGGGAAAAGCAGAGAAGGAAGATCTGTTGGTGATGTTCGCCGCCTTGAGTTCTTTGTGGAAGGAATTAAAAGGCAGGATACAAACTGAACAAGTAAAGTTGGAGACCTCCTTCAGCCCAGCATGGAAGGGTGAGTTAGAAGGGCTTTCTAGGAAGTAGGACCAAGGTTCATGCTCACAGGTTGACAGCCTGTGCTAAGAGTGCTTTCCCTAAGGAAAAGGGAGAATTGGACACACAGGAATCATTTGGGAAGTCCCTCCATGATTGACAGACAAAACACTCTTCACCTTATTGATGATCCCGCCATTTTCGACCACTCCTTCAGCCCCCACGATCACCAAATCGACCCTTTCCATGATGTATCTTTGAAGGAGACAGAAAAACATGGTTCTTTGTCCAGATCTTTTTGGCAACGATGCTTTGTGATCGTCACAGCTTATGACCATCATAGCTGGGCTCAATTACAGTCGTGAGTCAAGGACTACATGAAATGTACGCTGTGCAACCTCTAGTATTAACAGTAACACCATGGTTGTCATGCAATGCGTTTTGGCACACAACGATTGTCGTGTGCGAGAGCCAGGCCACTTTTCCTGTGAATAAGCTAGATTGCTGTTTTAACTCTCCAAAGAGAATCTCCCTAAATGGCTTTTATCTCATGTTGATTGGGGAAATTTCCCATTTCAAAAGCCCCTTTGCCAACATTAATCCATCAGACTTACCCAACTGCAGCATCTAGAATTATGGTGACAGGTATTCCGAGATTCTTGAGCGCTTCTGCCATCTTCTGCCTGTGTTAATGTTAGGACACGCGTATTAAACGAGTCCGTTTAATAAGCAGTACCTTGATCCTACAACCTACCTTTTATTAATCAAAGCAATTGATTAAACAAATTTTAAATGTTCTCTTTATTACTCCTATTTTTAAAACACCTTTTATTTGTTTCACAATTATTTGTCTCCCTCAACCTGGGACTGCTTAAAAATCACAGGCTAGGGATTTCAAATTCAAAACAGGCTCCTTCAGACAGCCTCAACAAGAGAAAAAAAGACTTTTCTACATTTTTTAATAACAAAGGGAAAGTATTTTTCTTTTACTTGCCCTGCTCGATCTGGCTGCGATTCCGTGACGTAGACGCTAAAACGTTTCTTGGCCTGTGCAGCTTCTTCTAACACTCGAAGCACCACTTTTGAGTAAGCGTGGGTCAGTATTTTCTGGAAAGACAAGCCAAATATTTTCCTTTTCCATTGGTAGCTTATGTCATCAGTCCCAAACCGTTTTCTGTTGGGGGAAGAGCTTCTCTTCTCATTCAGTGAAACAGTGGGAGAAATATAGGAAAAGGATTAAAATATTGCATCCCCCAGCACTGGTTTGCTAAATAACAGGTATTAATTCTGGAATATTTTTATAGCCGCCTTCAAAAAAATAATCCCACCATGGTTGTGGTAAATAACATGACATTTTTTTAAAAAAAATTAGGTGATCCAAGATCACCTGTGTTATATTATTAAAGAACAGGAAGGAAAAATACTAAATGTAACAGTATTACTCACGCCACCATCTTTCACAAAGTTGTGACAAAGCTTGGCGATTTTCTTCCTCGAAAGAGAAATTCGCTGAAGGAAAACCTCTCCTCTTTCAATCATGATTTCTTTGCATTTGGAATAGTCCTGGGGGGAAAAAAACGGAAAACAGTGACACAGAAAGATGATCCAGAAGATTGAAGAAATAAGTGAAAACATGTTTTGGATGGTACAATTAGCATCTGTACCCAGATGGGTGAATGTCTGGGTTCACACAAACTCTTACTCTTCAAATGCATGGAAATTTATTCTGCGTTGTAACACGTAAAAACAAACGCTTTCTGGATAAGGAGCTCTTCAACATTTAATATATGCCAAGGTCGATCCCTGACATTTTGAATTGTTTCAACCATTCAGGACAACTCTATTTTATCAGAAGCACATTATTCTTGTAGCCACATTCAACACTTTTTAATGTTAAAAAATTTGGAAGCTGAGTGGCAAATATTTACATGAAAGAACTGAGGGAAACTCACCGGGTTTTCCAACGAAGTGAGACTGATGAATCTTAAGAAAAGCTCTCCGCCAGAAGAAATGGCCACGGAGGAGTCGACACGAGAGAGCGTTTCTATAGCCTGTTTTAGATTGGCTCTCAGTCCTTGGATTGTTTCGCCTGAGGGAATAAAAAGGTAAAAAAATCAACTGTGTGGGCTTCATTTTTTTACAGATTTCATCTTGGGAGTATAAAATAAAAACTGAGGCAGGTAGCTGGGAAGCCGTATGATAAAAGTTAACTCAAGAGGGGAACACACTTTCACTAGGTTCATGTATTAACTTCCGGATCAACAATTTTGACCTCGGAAAGGAGTAGTTTTACAAATCAAACATGTTTCATAATCCTATTTTGCAGTTCAGAAAGACTTAAGACAAAAGCTGAAGCGTTTAACACAAATCCAGCTAGGGAATTGAGATACTCAGATGTGTATCTTACAACTTTATATTCATTATCTATGACTACTTATTTCATAACAGGCTGCTCTGCTGCAAATCACTCTGGGATTTCTAAATAGAATCTAAGCATAAGTCCACCAGTCTGTGATTTAATGTCTTTCTTCTGGACGGATGCTCACTCCATGCAAAGCCAAGACATTATGTACCTTTGTCCTTCTTCAGGAATTCCAGTAAGACCCGGATGGCAGCCACTGCAGAGGCAACATCTGGATCCTTCCTCATCTGGGTGTTAAAGGCATCGACTAGCTCTGCAAAGGTGGAACCGGAAAAGTAAAATTAATTAGAAATCCAGATGCTTACAAAAGTCCTTCCTTTCGCATTTTACAGAATGGAATGTTTTGCAGTTGTGAGAATCTTCCAAATGGAATATTTTGCATTTATTCCACACCCTCTCACTTACTTGCATCATAGGCTATAATGTTTGGACCACTTTCAGAAAAGTAATGTTTTTAGGGAGGGATGGATAGATGGATGGATAGATAGATGGGAGTGGTAGGTAGCTAGAGATACATGATTATAGATAGATATAGAGATAGGTGGATGGATGGATAGGAGAAGTGGGTAGCTAGATATATGATTATATAAACATACGGAGATGATAGATAGATAGATAGATAGATAGATAGATAGATAGATAGATAGATAGATAGATAGATAGATAGATGAGAGGCGGCTCTACAAAGAGGAATAATACAAAAATAATTAGGAATTGTCATGGATTTTACAATACTGAAGAAACGTGATGGCAGAAGGTTTCTGATCCAAAAGGAAACTCTTCCCACAACACCCGCCAGTCTAGCAGAGACCTCACAGGGCAGGAAACTTGACATTTCCACCTGTCGAGGCTCGACCTATTTAACTTCCAAGCTTCGGTTTTTGTTTTCCTCTGCAATCATGCAGTTTCCCTGCCTCTTTTCCTTAGGCTCCCGGGGCGAGGGGGACTCCCGTCTTCCCCCAGGAAGGCTAAAAAAAAAAAAGCAATCCAATTCAAAATCAAACTTCAAAACAATGCCCGTTTCGGGGCTCCCCCACTCCGCTCACCCGCTTCGTTCATGATTGAAAAAAGGAAAACTTGGGGCGCTTCCGACGACGACGCCTCCACGGAACCTTCGGCGCAGCGGCGCGCGACCTTCGCCGGAAGCCTTTCCCGGTTGCGCTCTCTGCCAGAAGCAAGAACACCACACGCGTGGGGGACGTCAAAAGGGAGCACCGGAGTGCTTTTGACGTCACTTTCGGGCGACCGGGCGGTCCCACTTCGTCGTTATGAGCGGGGGTGAGTTTGGGGTTCGAATTCTGGACTTTAATTCGAGGTTGGATATGAATTCCTCCTGCATTTCCCGAATCCAGGCCTCTGAATTCCTTGGTGGGGGGAGACTGGGTTTTATTCTGAAGCGTGGCTGCCTCTGAGCATGTGCAGAGTGGCTTCACATCCTTCCAAGGCACCCTATTCCCGCCCCCATCCCCAACCCCAGGTGTCCTTTCAGTTTATAAATATTTTTATTGTTTTGTATCACAAATTCCATTTCTGTATTGAACAGTGTGTTTCCTAGGGGTCCAAATATAAATATAAACACCATCATCATTATAATCATGTACATACAGATATAAGTGTTGTATGTGGTAATAACACACACACACACACGTGTGTGATTATTATCACAATAAGATAATATCATTTTTTATTAAAAAGTATAATATCTTCCATATTAACATTGCCCGGCTCTCCTTTCAAATGTCAAATATTTAGAAATTTGAATAGAGGTAGAAATAAGAATACACACCTTTATATGAAGCAATAGTTAGATGGAAAGACTGGAGGTTGGAAGTGGGTATTATTAGGTATGTTTAAATAATAGGAAGTTGGGTACTTGAATGGTGTATTGTGACTTTGAACAATCAAATAAGGATTATTATAAATGTGTAAATACTAGGATTAGCAATGGTGACATGATTAGAAGCTAGAATAGAGGTAGAAATAAGAAATAGGAAGAATATTAGCAGATATAATTTTTATATAACAGAATATGTAATAACTTGATCGAAAAGATCAGTGCCTAAAGGGTTGAAGCTTCCACAATTTCCAAAGGCAACTTCTGTTCCATGGGTTGATCGTTCTCACGCTCAAAAAGTTTCTCCTTATTTCCTGGTTGAATCTCTCCTTGTTCAGTTTCCATCCATTATTCCTTGTCTGGCCTTCGGGTGCCTATCTGACTAACTACATAAAATGAAGGAATGGAGGGCAGATACGCTCTCAGCTTCTGAATTCTGTCTTTTTTATTTTTTGCAGACGATGAGGTGAATCTCCTAGTCATTGTTGTTGATGCTAACCCTATCTGGTGGGGCAAGCAAGCTTTGTTGGGCTCAGAGGTAAGACATATTTGTCATAAATTATCCAACCCCTATAGGTTTCCTTTGTTTTAAAAAACATGTTTTCTAATGTTTTTCTTTTTGACAAATATGGCTTGAAATTTGGAAGTTTCTAGATTTAAATAATATTTCTCCTTCTTGCAGCTTACGTTATCAAAATGCCTCGATGCGACCATGGTGTTGGGAAACTCACACTTATTTATGAACCGCAACAACAAACTTGCTGTGATAGCCAGTCATATACAAGAAAGGTATTCTATTTCCTGTTGATCATTGCTCTACGAAACTGTTTTGATTGAAAGATAAGCTCCTGATGCCTAGTTAAGAACTGTACAGGGGCATAAAAAAACTCTGAAATTTAGTGCAAAACTAAACAGGAACAAACTAAAGGATATTTTGTTATATTTCCCTTCACAAAATCGAAAGTGATGGGTGCTTTGTGGTTGTTTGAGTATTTAATTGCTAAACGGTTAACATAATTTTAACTTCCTCTTCTCTCAGCCGTTTCTTGTATCCTGGAAAACATTGGGCAGCCCTCGATCTCTTTGGAGAATCTGGGGAATCAAATATTTCTGGTAGCAAAGATGGAAAATACGAAGTATTAACCACCATAAATGAAACCATTGCAGAGGAGATAAAGGACCTGCTGACCAATAGTAAGAGAAGCCAATTGATTTGTTACACAGCTTTGGTGTTTCTTATTTCTATTTTTTTCCACCAAAAATTGTAGGGATCTGTTCCCAAAATGTATTATTGTATTATTAAATCATAGTTGGTTTGACTTGTGTGCTGATACAAAATTGTGGACCCCCTTAAGTCTTGGTTTGAAAATGCTTACGGTAACATGACAGTTTTTTTCAAAACCTTCTTCAGTAGGATTCATCTGCCTGTCTGGCTGTCTATATATTTTGCTAAGATTAAAAAACAATCATATTGACAATAATCTGTGCAAGTTGGAATGAGTGAAGAATATGCTACTTAATTTCTTTTGTTCCTTTGTGATCGTAGCTGAAGTAAAGGGGCAACAGATGGAAACTTTGCTGGCTGGATCTCTTGCTAAAGCACTGTGCTGTATCCTTTTTTTAAAAAAAGTTAACATTTCTCAAAAACGACTTTGCATTTTTGGGTATATACCCATTTTGAGCCTCAGGATGTTAGGTACCACCTGGCTGAGCCCATCTTCTTTTTCAGCCTTCTTTTAAATTGCATTGATTTTGAAGAGCTGCTTGATTTTATTCCTGCCATTTTATCCCAGAAGTGTTTTTATTCTTTTTTCACACTGTTCTAAGTTCCTGTGTGAGGGAAAGCAGTCCGTTAGTGAAGTATACCTATTCAAATCATCCTGTTATAATGATTTTTTTGTGTGTTCCAAAATACAATTCAATTGATTCCTGAATGTCCTGTGCTTCAGATATTCACAGGGTGACAAAAGAAAGTAAAAGTACGTAGTCTGATACTATTTATAGGTCCTGTTATTGCAAAACATTGATCCAATGAATTGTAAAACATTGATCTGCTAATCATTTCTTCTCTGGTTTTCCGTCTCTTGTTCAATATGTAGCCACCCAGGAAATAAAATCCAGGATAATGGTAAGTTTTGCGAATTCCCTTCCATATCTTGAAGCCAAATAGCTCCTGCTATATATGAGATCTAAATCAAGAAATCCCCATTTCTTTTCCAGGTCATAAAAGCGGCTGAAGATAGCGCATTACAATATATGAATTTCATGAATGTGATCTTTGCAGCCCAGAAACGGGTAATGTCCAGAATTTTATTACAAGTCCTGTAACTCCATAAGCACCTTACTCGCATTAATATTGTATTGCTTTCTCTTTGGAGAATCTTAATTCTCCTTTTTTTTCCCTCAGAATATTTTAATTGATGCCTGTGTATTGGACTCTGATTCGGGACTTTTACAGCAGGTACAATATTCATTTTTATTCTTCTTCATCTTAGTTCTTGTGGAAGAACATAAGTTTTTCCTTTATGGTCCTTTCTCTAAAAGTTTCATTTCCACCTCAGTGTGCCCAGAGTTCATTCTTTCATCCTAGAATATTGCAAGCTAAGCAGAAGCTCCACCAGGGAGCCCCAGATATAATTTTGGTGTTTGGTTGGAGGGATTGCCCCAAAGGTACTTTTTTTTTCCCCCGAGGCAACTAGACTTTCTGGTTTTTCTTTGAAGAGGTTTCGCTTCTCATACCAAAAGCTTCTTCAACTCTGAAGAAGAACCGAACTGAGAACTGAAGAAGCTTCTGGGATGAGAAGCGAAACCTCTTCAAAGAAAAACCAGAAAGTCCAGTTGCCTCTTGAAAAAAAAAGCACTTTTGGGACAACTGTGACCTGGATGGCTGAGAATCTCCATAGATGGTTTGAGGGGGTTGTTTGCTGCTTAAAAAAGGATAAAATTCTACTTTCTAGGCATGTGATATAACTGGCGGAATCTACTTGAAAATTCCATACAAGCCCTCGCTTCTCCAGTATTTGCTGGTGAGTTCTGTTTTTCTAGCCACTTCCCTTTAGCCTGTTTGATTTGTAGAAGTCTGGGTAAATTCTACCAAATCTTTAATGTCAGGTTTAAGCTGCCAGCTTTTAATAAAATTTGCCGGTGGAAAAAGGAGCTATTGCTGTGGATTTTTGACTATCATATACACAATTTCTACAAAATTTTGTCTTAATTGCATCCCTTTTAAAAATCACAGTGGGTTTTTCTGCCTGATCAAGATCAGAGATCCCAGCTGATCCTCCCTCCGCCCGTTCACGTGGATTACCGTGCTGCCTGCTTCTGCCACAGGAATCTCATTGAAATTGGCTATGTCTGCTCAGTGTGTTTGTCAAGTAAGGATCGAGGCTTTCTTGGGCTTTGGGTTGATTTGTGTGGTCTTAAAACAGCTGTTCTGAAAGTGTTAATTTTAACTTTTGTTTTATTTTTTACAGTATTCTGCAACTTCAGTCCAATTTGCACCACTTGTGAGTAAGTAACCTTGAGAAATCTTTTTGTAAGTGAACAAACACTGCCTGTTCTGTAGTCAGTGTTTCAGAATGAAAGCAAAAATTTTCCTGAAGAGATACAAAATTATATAAACTGTTGTATCCCCACACTGTGTTTGGAGAAACACTGAAATCTTTGTCTCAATTTACTGCTTTTCCTGTTGCTTCTTGTCTCTTAATTTTACCAACTCTTATGTCTTTCTTTCTTTCTTTCTTTCTTTCTTTCTTTCTTTCTTTCTTTCTTTCTTTCTTTCGTTCTTTCTCTCTCTCTCTCTCTTAGATAATTTATATAGCCACATACTAAATCCCTTCTCCTCACTTCCCTTCCCCTTTTCCCTTCCCACCCCACCCCACCACCCGCCAAATCTTTACCCCAAATTTCTTTGCAGCTTTGAAACTTTGCTATGTTTGTTTACAAATTTTGTTGTTGGAGAAATATACAAATATGTGCCGAGATAGGTCAATTGTTATAGCGTGACCCTAGCAATTCCTAAATAGTGAATTTTTATTGCTTGTTGGGGTGGACAGAATGTATCAAATCCTTGTGAAAAGTCAATATTTTTGTCCCGATTGTTCACTTTTGTTCCAGAACCGCTTTCAAGATTTCACTGCCGGCGGTCATGAAGTCTAAGAAAAAGAAACTGAAAGTCATGATGTAGCTGCACGATCGATTTCTCTCGCCCTCCTCATGGAATCCTGTCTCCCAGATTGTAACTTTAAAGCTGCAAAAGTGGAGCTCCAGAAAAACCAACATGTATTTTTGAAATGATCAACAAAGGGCAAAACATTTCAAACCAAGGCATACATTATCCAGAACACTGTTCTAAAGTGTTAATCAAGTTTCTGCCACTGGTTTAAACCAACCCCTGAAATTGGAGAAGAAGGAAATAAACCAAGTTGGTATGTAAAGATCATTTCAGGTATTGTAGGTAGAAAAATCAAACTGGTTTAAGTCTTGATATCTTAATTCCAGACAAAGCCCCTTTTACTTAAGTTAAAATTGTGATGGATTGACATTTCGGGGCTCCTGGGCTGGTCCCTGCAGAAGCCTTCTTGGGGAAGAAAAACTTTTTGATTGAAAAAGAAAAAAGAATTCAGATCACAGGTATTGTAAGCTACATTTTTCATTTTGGTTAATAGCAGGCCTAAAAGAATTCTGACTCCCAATTTTAACAGCAGCCTGTGCGTTGCTAACCGAATGATATGTATTGCTAACTGGTTTTGCAAGATGAATTGCTGTTTGAGGCTGAGCACATAGCATTTAGTTTTTTATTTCAAATGTTAATTCCTTTCTGTACAACCTTGTGTGGCCCAGAAGAGGCTTCCAGCTTCTTGGTTCTTGACTGCAAATTTTTGCCTTGCAGAGATTTGTATCTGTGGGTTGGTAGAACATCTGGCCAAAGACAGCTGGGGGTCTGTTGGTTAAGAAGACCACAGTTTACACCAAGGGTCTTCAAACTTGGCAAGTTTAAGACTTGTGGACTTCAACCCCCAGAATTCCTGAGCTAACATTATTGGGAGAGGAATTCTGGGAGTTGAAGTCCACAAGTCTTAAAGCTGTCAAGTTTGAAGACAATATATCCAACCTGATTTCTGACTTCTCTGTTTTCTAGATTGCACATTACGTTGAATGGGCTGTGTTGAAATGTGCTACGTTATCTCCCGCTCCAAAACTTAAAGAAATAAATCATATTTGCAATTGTCTTAAGGGCCAGTTGCTAAGCGCCCAAATTTTGATCTTGGGGACACTGCAATGTTTGTACGTGAAAGGACTGGTTGTAGATCGCTTTTTTCAGGCCCCTTGTAACTTCTTGTGGCTAAACAAATATTGTAACTACCGGTAGCTGTGTAGCTTGTTGAGTTTGGCCTTTGTGTTTTATGTGAACCCAGCACCTCTTATTGTTGTTCCACAGTTTCTGTCAATACGAGATGACCTACTGAATAAACTACGTAGCACACTGAATTTGTAAAGCTTCGTAGTGGTTTATAAAACCACAATTGGTGGCGTCACAAACACATATGCCAAACCAACAAGCAAACTAATGATTTCAGTGCAGCGGATGAACCCAGCCTTCCTTTTTTTAAATGGTAACCTTTTAAAGCTCCTGTGTTTTCCAAAGTTAAAACTTACTTGGGCTAGTTTTGGAGAAGAAGATGTTGGAAACCTTCGGCCAGCAGTGGTGAAGAAGGCGGTGTCCGATTTCACATGCCTCCAGGGGTCTAGATTCCTCCAGCCGCTCTCACTGGATCTCAGGGGAGAAGGTTGAACGCTGGACAGCGATCTCCTGGAATCTTCCTCTGTGACCGTAGATAATCCTCTCCTAACTCTGTGTGCTAATTTCTTGGCCATCAGCAAGCAAAACTGCCTTTTCTCCTCCTCAAGTTCTCGCAGCCAGCTGCGTTTCTGCTGTTCCAGCTTCTTTAGCCTCTGTGGAAGAAGGAAAGAAGAGAGGAAGAACTGCAAGAAGGAGCACCATCAAGCAAGGAGATGCTTCCTGCTTCTGGTGAAAGGAAATGTTGACTGTAATGGTCTAGACATCAAGAATTAAGAGGTAGTGGATCCTGTAGATCAGTATTTCTCGATCCTGGGAACTTTAAGACGTGTGGACTTCAACTCCCAGAAGTCTCCCAACCAAGGCTGGCTGAAGAAATTCTGGGAGTTGAAGTCCATACTTCTTAAAGTTCCCAGCCTTCCAAAGTTGAGGAACACCGCTGTTGAGAAACAGCAGGGCACTTAGCATGATGTAAATAGACAGGCAGCGGTTTCTGAGTCACCCTGTTTTGTCAGCTGTTGCTGGTAGATCTCTGGTGCTTGAAAAACATTAATTTTGCCAGCCTCAAATCTCTTTCCACCAGCTAGCCAGTGCGTGGCACACAGGTTCAAGCAGAGGACTACGAACATCCGGACCCAAATGTATGCCTTCATTTAACCCTTTGCCTTCTCAACCCAGCCTAGCCTGCATGGCTGGGAGGATAAAATATGTATTATTTAAGCTCTTGAAAGTGACATCTGGTCTACAAATAGAATAAAGAGATAATAACATGGATATTTCACATTTTTGGCGGTCCTTTAAAATTCCGGGCAGTTGGTGAAATTCCCAGCAGTGAAATGGGTCGCCTTACCATGGCTAGCTCCTTCTGTTCTTTGATAATCCTATTCTTCACTTGCTGAGGGGCCGTCAAGAGATCTGCAAGGCAAAAGGAGTAGAAAGAATCATTCTTGTATAAAAACATCAAAGAGACTTTGGGATCGCCGCCGACGGCCATGTTTGCTCAATGTTAATTGAGCCACGGTGCTAAAAAATCTTGGAATGGGGTAGAAAGCAGGTGTTTCTCTTGAAATGGCTGGGCTCGGAGTGATCTGCTGGCAGATGGCAAAAGAACTTGCTCTCAGTCAGGCACCCAGGGAAGGGGATATCCTGGTTTATCGCTTGAAGGCGGCTGGATTAATTCCCACACGCTGGGCATTAGCTAAACATTGACTAAGGGCGTCAGACTAAAGTGACCCTTCATTTTTTTTACAAGAAAACTCTAAAGGTCTCCATCTTTATCTTCACCTTGTCTATCTAATGCCCCGACATGTTTAGCACTGGAAATTCTGCCCAAAATTTGCAATTTGAGCTTCGCATCTGCTAATTTTCTTAGCTTCAACTGTTATTGTTTGCTTTGTTATTTCCAGCTTCCTTGACGTGCCTTGTTTTTTAAGTTGCTGGTTTTTTTTTTAATGAGGTCTTCTTTGATCTTCTAGTTTTTCAGATTTTTTTTCTTCCTTTCATCTGTTCAAGCTTACTTACATGGGATCTCAGATTGTTAATCTTATTTTCCAGCCTGGTCTTCCATTTTGGTGGCGCACTTTTTTTTTTTTCTTCATTGATTTTGCGTCCCAGGTATTCAGTTATAACTGCAGCTGTGTTGCACATGAATTGTTTTTAGCATCATCATAATTATTATTATTTTTATCATGGCACAGAAAATATTTTTTCCACTATTGTCTTAAATTGGCTATGCCAGGGATGAGTTTCTGTATTCGGCTGTGCTTTTGTTCCATGGTTACACGGATATTTACACCAACACAAATAAATAAGGGTTTGATCTCCCTTGCAAAGCATTCCAGCTGAGCTTTGGTCTGTGACAGCAGACACAGCAAAATTTCAGTGTGCTATCCAGAACTGAATGCATATCGCCTAGAGAAATGTAAATTATTCTATCCTTATTTTGCATTTTATGTTACCTCTGGGAGCTAATTATGAACAAATCAGTTTGCTTGGCTGCTATTTTGGGGTTGTTGTTGCTATTTTTTTATGTTTCAATGGCTGTTGACTACTTATACAGAGATAGGCTGTACGTGAATTGAAATAAATGAATAAAATAAGTTTCAAATGATTTGGGGGACTTGTTTTTGAGTATTATCAACAGAAAATGAAGAAGTGGGTTAATCTTTAAGCAGCAAGAATGATGGGAAGGAGGAAATATAGATTGTGAGTTGGAGTTAAAAAAAATACTAATTTTCACTGCTGTGGCTGATGGGAACTGTCATCCGGTCTATCTGGAGCAGGGTTTCTCCATCTTGGCCCCTTGAAGCCATGTGGACTTCAACTCCCAGAAATCTCCGGGCGAAAGTTGGCTATTTCTGGGCGGGAGCGTCTGCGAAAGGAACGATGGAAGTTGTAGGGCAGCCCCGAGTAAAGAATGTACCATTCCCACAAGTGGGGGAGGACAGGAACAAGAAAGGGCCTCTTTTGTGTTATTTTCCACCACTTTTACCACAGACCCGCATCTTTTCCCACTCCTTAACTTCCACTCGCAACGCAACGGGAGATTTCAGCCTCTTTTTTTTTTAAACCCCCTTTGACTGCCCCGCAAGCCTTTCGCGCTCCCTCCGGGAGGACCTGGTTCCTCCGGGCCGTCTCCATAGCAACCGAGGAAGGCGCCGGGAAAGATGGCGGCGGAGGAGGAGGAAAGGGACGGTCCTGAGGGCCCGTCTTAGCTCCGCCATGAGCCTCCGGGGGATCCTTTGGGGGCTGCTGTGGCTGTTTCGGGCCGTGGCCCAGGATGGGGATCAGGGTGGGTGAGGGGAAGGTCCAAGGGTGGGTGAGATAGGCTAAGCAGCAATGGGCAGGCAGAAACCCAACAGGTGTGGCTTCAAGGCCAGTTTCGTGTTTGTGTGTGGTTTTGTTCTGCCTGCCCCTCAGCCATGAAATCTCCTCCCTTCCTCCTCTCTCCTTCCTCCCGCCTTTGCTTTCTTCTTTCCCATTCATTTTCTTTTCTTTCTCCTCCCTTCTTCATCCCTCCATCCTTTCGTCTCCCTCCCTCCCATTTTCTTTCTTTTTTTCCAACCTATCTCTCCTCCCTCCATCCCATCTCCTTTCCTTCCTTTCTCCCATTTCCCTTCCTTTTTTCCAACCTATGTCTCCCTTCCTTCCATCCATCCATGCATCCATCCCTCTATCCCTCCCTCCCATCTTCTTCCTCCCTTCCTCCCTTTTCTCCCCAATCTATCTCTCCTTCCTTCTTCCCGCCCTCCCATTTCCCTTCCTTCTTTTTTCCAACTTATCCCTACTCCCTCCATCCCATCTCTTTCCCTTCCGTCCAATTTCCCTTCCTTTTTTCCAACCTATCTCTCCTTTCCTTCCTTCCTCCCTTCCCTCCCTCCCGTCTTCTCTCTCCCTCCCATTTCCCTTCCTTCTCCCCAACCTATCTCTTCTTCCTTCTTCCTTTCCTCCCTTCATCTCCCTCCCTCCCATTTCCCTGCCTTGTTTCCAATCTATCTTCTCTTCCATCCATCAAACCCTTCATACTCAGGTTCTCATGGTCCTAACGAACCAGTGTTCTGGATTTGTACAATGCACAGCTTTCTGAGCTAAACAGCGGGCTGAGTTGGTATAATAAACATGCTGAGCCCCCAAAAGGTAGACATCCAGCGTGCATACACACCGACAAAAGTTTAGCTTGTGCCATCATGGCTATGTCTTTTAGGGAACATGACTAAGAGAGTTTGTGAAATAGTGCTTTGTTGTTGTTTTTTAAATTCCTGTCATTGGGTTTTGTTCA